CTCTAGAATGTTTCAATTTTAACTTCATTTAGGTGGTTTTGGTGCATTGGGTATATATATTCTGGCTTGTTTTCAGATTTTTACTTAATATATATTTTATGTCAAGGGACAGTAATGGGGTTTTCTAATAGTATTTATGAAATTAGAATTATTGGGTTTTTTTAACAGTATTTATACACTATAAGGTTGAAATGAATGACAAAGTTGTAATTTTAGTCCTATAAAGAGAGATGTGTGTTATCTGAAGGTTTCTAATATTTTTATGTGTATTGGAATTATCTTTGTCTCTATTTTGCATAATTCCAACTTTCTTTACACATTGGGAGGAAACACCTCCATTTCTGTTCATTTCCGAAGTCTTTATCCTTGATGAAAAAGTATGTGCCTCATTATATTAAAAGTGAAAGTGGAAGAGAGATTTTGACTTTTAATCTTTATCCAGTTCCAGTTTTCCATCAGATGTCTGTAATTCCTGGAATTAAATAAAAGAAATGTCTAACTTTATAGTCACTATCTCATTACTTAATGATAAATTATGAATTATTAGCAACTTTGACATGTAATAGTTGAAAATAAAACTCTATTTCATTTTATTTTTGTGATATTTATTTTTAATTTGAACTTTCTAAAGAACGCAGGTCAGAGGTCAGGAAAAGAGTCGACTGTTCAGAATGTAGGTATTTATAACGACAGACAATTAACATATTTTTAATATTCCTACTAACATATCAATGGTGTAGAGAAGTCTAATAATTTGATAGACATCACAGGGTTGTCATAGAAATTTTTATGTCTTTATCTCAGATCTGAAGCCTGGTTTATGCTTGAGATGCTAAAAATGCAAAAAAGTAGACTAAAGTAATCCTAAAATCCTAATTGAGGTCTTTTAGAATTTAATTCTGATTTTTGTCAAAAAACAAAATTAGCTAATATCCCCAGGAGGCAGCTGGAATTCTCTGCTCCTAAGCATTGTATTGTAACAGGCTGACAGCCCTGTTTTGTCATATTTTGATTTAGTTGGAATTAGGGTTCTTCGATAATTGTTTTTTTCCTCAAATCTTTAGCGTAGGGCCTTGGTTCCCTGAAACCTAACAATATTTCCTATATTATCATTAAGTAACTCTCGTAAAATTAGATTAGATCTTACCCAGCTTTTCCAAACTAATGTTAAGATTTAAGTTTATAGTTAACATATTATAGTTTTACTGGTGGAGGTTTTTAGCCAGAGTTTTTCAACCTTTTTCTTTCTATTGCCCCTTTCAGGATCCTTGATCATTTGAATTACCTCCCTTCTATTTCTCTCAGGTTTTCTCTTTTTGATGTCGGAGAACATAGCCTAACTGAATAGAAGGACTTAAATTAATCAAAAAACTTGTACTCTAGACTAAAAGACACCCCAAAAAAAAATTCAACATTATTCCCCTGTTCTTGGCAGTGAATTGGTTTGTTAGATGAAGCTTCCAAACTCTTAATTTGTAACTAACTAACTAATATTATAGAATTTTCTAACCTGGTTGTGGATTCTAAACTAATTGGTTCTAGGCTACTAACATACTAAATTTCATAAGAATAAGAAAAAATTTGAATTTAACCAAAATTTTATAAAGAAAAGTTGAAATTTAAATTTGTGAATTTTTCTTTCATTATTTCAATTAAAATTAAAAAACATTAAATAGAATATTTGAAAATAATAATAAGAAATGATTACTCCTAACTCTAGCCGAAACCATGGGTACGAGACCTGAGTGAGATAGAGTTAGTACTCTCTCCAGAAGAATTATATCTTAGAGTACGTATTATTTTATATTGCTGGGTTCAATCTGGTTCTCATGGAGATGTTACACTTGTCTGACAACTTTCATGATCCCTTGGCGTTCTCAACGCGTTCCAGAACAGATCGCTGAACCTTGGCGCTTGTTTTGAACATGTCCAAAATAAACAATGTTACTTCGCGAATAGTGGCGGCAATTGCACGAAGTCTGGAGTGTCCTACATGCTTATACGACCTTGTGGTGACCTCAGCTAATTTTCCTTCACAGTAGCGAGTGGTGTGACAGGACCATTAGACTCAGATTCCAAACATATATGATCAGTCCACTTTTTTTGTAGGTAAAATAAAAAGAAATTGAAATTGATTAAGCTAGACTTAGTTTGTTCATTACTATTTAAACCACCTAAGAATAAGGTGGACTGCTTGTGGTTATGTTTTAAAGCAAACTTCGCAGCAGAAAAGTTTGTATGTCATGGATCCTGTAAATAATTGAAAAGTCTTAAGAAAGTCATCGTTGAAACTCCATGATCTACTGAATAAATGTCACCTGCCCCATAGCCAGACCTGATTGTTTGGAAGGGCAAGTTATATAACCATAAGGGCAAGTAATATATCTGGAGGGGCAAGTAATATATCTGAAGGGGCAAGTTATATAACCATAGGGGCAAGTAATATATCTGGAGGGGCAAGTAATATATCTGGAGGGGCAAGTAATATATCTGGAGGGGCAAGTAATATATCTGGAGGGGCAAGTAATATATCTGTAAGAGCAAGTAATATATCTGTAAGAGCAAGTAATATATCTGTAAGAGCAAGTAATATATCTGGAGGGGCAAGTAATATATCTGGAGGGGCAAATAATATATCTGTAAGAGCAAGTAGTATATCTGTAAGAGCAAGTAGTATATCTGTAAGAGCAAGTATTATATCTGGAGGGGCAAGTAATATATCTGTAAGAGCAAGTAATATATCTGGAGGGGCAAGTAATATATCTGTAAAAGCAAGTAATATATCTGGAGGGGCGAGTAATATATCTGTAAGAGCAAGTAATATATCTGGAGGGGCAAGTAATATATCTGTAAGAGCAAGTAATATATCTGTAAGAGTAAGTAATATATCTGGAGGGGCAAGTAATATATCTGTAAGAGCAAATAATATATCTGGAGGGGCAAGTAATATATCTGGAGGGGAAGTAATATATCTGGAGGGGCAAGTAATATATCTGTAAGAACAAGTAATATATCTGGAGGGGCAAGTAATATATCTGTAAGAGCAACTGATATATCTGGAGGGGCAAGTAATATATCTGGAGGGGCAATTAATATATCTGTAAGAGCAAGTAATATATCTGTAAGAGCAAGTAATATATCTGGAGGGGCAAATAATATATCTGTAAGAGCAAGTAATATATCTGGAGGGGCAAGTAATATATCTGGAGGGGCAAGTAATATATCTGGAAGAGCAACTGATATATCTGGAGGGGCAAGTAATATATCTGTAAGAGCAAGTAGTATATCTGGAGGGGCAAGTGATATATCTGTAAGAGCAAGTAATATATCTGGAGGGGCAATGGTGTATAGTTGAAGTAATGGAAATGATCAGTTGTCAGAATTTGTTCAGAGGGCAATTTATTTTTTCGAAGGGGCATTACCACTTCCTTACCCACTTGTAGTTATGGGCCGGAATGTCACTTGGCCTTGGATGAATTTGATTAGACGATGAATTGGGGAGGAGGTCGAATTTGATTGGATAGGTTCTTAACCAGGAAATATTTTGACCAATGAAAAGCAACATCTCAAATGTTGCAAGTTTCTACTTTTGAGACGTTACTTATCAATGGTCAAAATATATTCACAATATCATAAAGAATCAAACCAAATTGACCTCCTAATTTGAATGTTTTTTTGAATTTTTAAGATTAAAGCTTGCTGATTGACCAAATATACATATATATTCATTTATTATTTTTTTTATCAAATTCACAATTATTGCATGGTTTTCCGTTTTTATAACTGAATGATCTATGTGTATCTTAGAATATTGAATGTGTTTGATGAAATGGGGTGGGGAGATGAATAGTATAGAAAATGCACCCCTCTTCTATATAAAAATTGAAAGGATATATCTCTTATGCCCTTCTACTGTAAAATTTGGTCAAATGAACCAAAATTTGTCTTCATCATTTTGAAATATGCACCTTTCTTGGCTGTTTAGATTGAGATCATTCTTTTACACAATCTTCTGTTATTTGTTTTTAACTTCTCTTCAAATCTCATTGAAGAATAATTCTTTTTAAATTTTCCATTTTGAAGTTCAATTATTTGACCATAACAGATCTGAAATATCTGTGTTTATTCTAGACTGTACAGAGACCATGGAAGATAGAATCAATTTTTGACAAGATTGGGGAACCAAATTTTAATTTTAAGAATTGGGAGAAAGGTGGGGAATTGAATGATGAAAAATCCCTCAACAATGTTACAATTTACTTTTTTTGGGAGAAAGGGGGTTCAGGAGGGGGGTGGAGATTGGGTCTTGAGATACAGAAGTGACTGAAAAATTTCTCAACTAAAAGAGGTGCAAATGTTCGAAAAATTTTCAAAAAATCCTGAATATTTGTTTGTTTATTTAGGAGCATGAAAAAGATAACGAAGCCTTCCAGAACGATTATGATAATTCCGTGACAACGACAGTTCAGACGCAACCCTCGACATCTCCATATGGTTCCATTCCCAACGGTACCAACAACAATGTTGATACAGGTAAGCTGTTTATTTTTGATCATTTCCTTAAAAATCAAATTAAAAAAATTCTTATCAGTTAGTCTAATTAATCAGACCAGTGGCAGAGCCAAAGGATGGACAGAGGAGGCAGCCACCCCCTTTGCAGCCCCGTAAGCAAGTTTTTTGGGCAAAATTCTCATAACTAGGTTAAAGATTTTGAATCAGACCAAATATAGTGGGGTCTAAAGACAGGTCACTTGAACATTCATCAAAATAACCTTTTGACCTAATCTGTTTTGATAAATTACAGTCTAATTAAATTACACCAAAATCCCTTTTTTGTAAGCTTTTATTTTTATGTAGCTAGTTAAGTTAGGGTCTAATGATGGGGATCTCATTTATCAGTTTGATGACACCGTCGACCAATCAAATTTCTTTCCTCGCTATCGCTAGGTTTATGTGACTCGAACAAAAGATCGAGAAAAAAATTTGCATAAAATGACCAGCTTTATTTAAATTTTGTAGAAGTAGACGCCAAGGAAGCAAAAGAGGTAAAGAAAATGGAAAAAGAATTAAAAAGACTGGAGAAAAAAGAATTAGTGGAGAAAAAAATGACGTCTGCTAAAGCTGCAACCCTTGCTAAACAACTTTCACCAAAATCTCAACGAAAGAAGGAACAAGTTTTAAATAATACAGCTCAGTTAAAGGTGCGTAATTCTACTTTATTGTGAAAATTAGGTTGAATATATTTAGTTTATCAGATAAAAACGGGATAAAATACATACATGTTTTTACATGTTTTGAAAATCATGCTTCTTTAGGATGCAGTGCAGGCACACGAACAGTCTTGTCAAGAATTTCACTGACCGGCTGCGAGAACACGAGGAGACAAACAAATCGTTCGTTTTCCATGTTGATAATCACATGCAGAGAATGCAATTGAAAGTAAAATGAATCTGATTGGATGATGATGCTCTGTCTTGCAGACGATAAAACAATCGGCGAGACATATTAATTTAATTTGATATTATAAATCCTGTTGACAATGTGATAATCTTGTGTGCGGGCTCATGTGAGATATTGCTCAAGATTTGAGTCGACTACAAAAATTGGCGACAAAGACTGTTCGTGTTGCCGGCACCCGTACCATTGTTGGAATTTTTCTTCGTGTGATGTACAATGTATTCTGATAATTTAATATTGTACAGTAATGAACACAATATTTATTTTTAATAGTTTCACGATTTAGTGAAAAAAGCGGGAAAATCTGACAACGGACAAACTCGAAATGTTGATGGTGATTTGGAGCAGATTCCAAAAATTGAGGTGATTTCTAGAAATTTCTGCACCCAATTTTTTCTTTATTTTTTTTTCAGATTTTTAAGGATTGGACTCAAATATATTATTTAATATTAAAATATTATTTTTAATTTTCAGCCAATTTCAACTCTTTTTGGATTTTCTCTATTAACTTTTTGGATTTTTTCAACCTTTGGAACAGGGTTTTTTACTTTTTTTTTATTGGACCGAGGATGAGATTTTACCGTCTTTTATTTTAAAGCCTGAGTTCTGGCGAACACGAGCCATCAGCTCAGACAGAATTCATTCATGCAATTCTCCTTAAGACGATAGCTTCCGTGTGAGGGTAAATTTATGTAAGATTTTGGTCATTCGTGATGAAATGAATGAATGAATAAATGCTTGTGTGTGCGCGTTACTAAAGCTATCTGCTATATTTCAACAAAATTGTTGTTTTCCGGTGTTGGTAACTTTTTATAAGATATCAAAATACAATATTTTGTTTTAAAGATTTTCTGAGTATATTTTCTCTAATATTCAGCACAAATTAAAATATTTTTACTATTTCTATTTTTAATCTGGGTTTTCATCTCTTCTGAGAGTTGTGGAGTTGACTTTTTATCTGGGTTTTCATCTCTTCTGAGATCTGTGGAGTTGATTATGGAGTTGTATGTGTGTGATAGTTTTGTTTTTAAATTCATGTGGCTGATGGGATTTGTACGAATCAACAGGATTTGAATTAGTTCATCTTGTAAATGAAATTTTCAAAGATAATAAAACTGAAAAATTGGTCAAAAAAATCAGTTGACTTCTTCATCTCCAATCCTGAAATGATGTTGAATTTCCATTTGTTTCAGGTTTACCCGAATGAACTAGAGAATCAACCTGAATTTGAGGGATTTAAAGACTGGTTACATACGTTTGAATTGTATCGTGGTAAAAAATCCAGCATGGAGGAATCTGATGAGAACAGAATCGTAGGGAAATTTAAGGTAAGGCTGTAGAATGAAATGTTGGGTGTAAAACTGCATTTCAAATTAAATTCTTCAGTGTCAATTGAATATTTTTCCCTGAAGAAAGACTTGGACTGATTCTTCTGGATGTAAAACTCCATTCATTTCATTTCATTTCTGAACTCTTTTATATATGTATTCTAGATATTTACAGCTAAGAAGGAATTGTTAGAATGAAATGATAAAATTTGAACACGTTTGCTAAGGGTGAGCTCCAGAGCATGGTTGATATTTTAACGACCTTGAACATGTGTTATATAACATACAAATAGATCATGGATGGTCAGGAGTGATCCACAGGAACAACACGAAACGTATGGATCATTCAGTATTTAAATCAGAAAGAGACTGCAATTGTTTTTAATTTGATTGGTTTTTTTTAAACTTCAGGGATCTTTAAAGATCTATAAAATTCCGCTTCCCAGTGATTTAGAAGATACCACTATTACAGGGGGAGATCCACAATATGGACTCTTCCAAGGGTTACCTAGCAACGACCCAATTAAAGTTTTGGTTCGAGTTTATGTTGTCAAGGTAAATTCTCAAAATTAAAAAAATCCAACCTTTTAATGATGTGTTATAATTTTTCCCTCTAAAATGTACATTTGACCGGACAATATGTAATATACGGTGTATTAAGTCTCAAAGACCATGTTTATCGTCTCAGGTCTCCGCGGTGGGGAATTGAACCCCTGTCTCCACCGAGACAGGCGGAATACTGACCATTCTACTACTGAGGACAACAGTGTTATATATCTTTATTCCAATATAGTGATAAGGCCCTTGCAAAGTTTCCCTCATTGCACATGGTCAACTGGTTTTATAAGTACATTGAGTAAATCTCTGATAACATATTTTGCACATGATATATAATTATAATTTCAGGCAAATGACCTTCACCCAGCTGATATTAACGGTAAAGCCGACCCCTATCTGGTCATACGATTGGGTAACTCTACTGTCAACGATAAAGATAGTTATATTTCAAAACAACTTAATCCTGTCTTCGGAAAGTAAGTTATTTTAAATTATTTACCAGGGACTGTAGTAGAACGAAACATCTGCCTCTATTCCAGTCTCTGATAGCTATATTGGACAGGTGTCGGCTGATGTTGAGACAGAGGTAAAGGCAATTTGATATTATTTTAGAAAAAACGCATCTTCAGTGGTATAGAAAATCCCCATAAAACAGGTCCAGTTTTTCTGACTCTACTCCAGCCGATACCCACAAAGTATGGTATCAGCGACTGGAAAAGAGACAATTTGAAGGAATTATGCTGGAAGAAAAGAGGGATAAGGAATAATCTAGTTTTGTTGTGTCTGAATGATTTAATTTATTATCTCCCTTGTGATGCTGATTTGGTTTAAAGATAGGTTCCCTTATTTTTATTTATGAAAATGAAAATGAAAATGCTAATACTTACATGAATAAAATGTAGAGGTTTTCTAATGACTTGGAAAAATACTAGTTTGTTGTCCATAATTAATTCATAATTAGCTAATTTAGAAGAGAATAACCAGCAGAATTCTAAAGAGTGACCGATCAAGAAAGGTCAAAAAGTCTTTTTTTGTTTATCCAGACTGACCATACATGGGCATTTATGATTGGTTTAAACTCTTAAATATATATGCAATAAGAACATAATGATATGATTAAGAATACATGATAATTCATTAGAAACACCAATTAATCTAATAGTTTGCTTGATTTCACACAAGAAACAAGGAAAACCATCGTAGTCTGTAAAAGCTCATTGATATTGTGTGTTACCTCCCTTTTCATGGTATCATCATGATGGTGCTCGATTGAAGAGCTCTGAACAGGTTCCATCTGTTCTAGTTATGTCCTCAATTGAATGGTATGAAAGAGGATATGTAACATTCTAAATTTACCTAACTGTTTAATTCCTTGAATCCTGAAGGTGCAGAATTCACCAATGATGTTTTCAAGAATAAGACCCTAGAGTTGTTTATAAAAGTCTAATATTATGTTAAAAGATGACATTGCGGGTGAAAGGTGTGGCATCAGGCAGAGTATGCTTACTCTTCTAGACACCTGATACCACTTTTCATTATGAAATACTTACTCATTTGTAATTGATATACTGCGTTATATGAGGCATCAGGCTGGGTATGCTTACTCCTCTAGTCACCTACTACTAGTTTTCATTATGAAATACTTACTCATTTTTAATTGATATACTTCTTCATGTGAACAGTTCATTAGCTATCAATATTTTGCCAATATGTTTTTGCTGTTCGGATCATCAGTGCATGGACTATTATTTAATCACATTATAGACATGATTTTACTATTTTTTGTTATTTGATCAATCCAGCCATTGTTCTAATTTAATCTAAACAGCTATAGCCTTTTTATATGGAAATGTGGACGTATATTGCAGTTGATCCTGTCTGTCATTCTATCGGTCTGTGTCTCCGTCCACTTTTTGTGTGAGAAGTTTAAAGCCTACAGTTTTTATTTGATTTTATTGAAATTTTGTGTGATGATTTATATTCATGAGATCTTGGTCAAGTTGGAATTTGACGATTTTTCAATGAACGTTTTTTTGAATTAGTAAAAACGCCTCCAAATTTGTTTGTGAGTGCAATAGAGACTACAGTATATTACCTTGTTGGAGAGCTATCTCTTTAAGTAGTATTTATCTTTGTGTCTTCCCTATTAGAATGATCCAACAATTTCTAGTCTTGATTATCATTGTGAGCTGTGGTGGCTAAGTGAGTTTGACGCTTGCTTGCTAACCTGAAGGTCCAGGGTTCAATCCTAGCATAGGTTGAGATAATACCTTCTGATTTTTCAGCCCAATTTGTCTTTCGGCCCTAATTTTTAAACCTTTTGAATAAAACATTATTTTCATTAAATTAAAAAAGAAAAAAAACAGAACTGCTTATCTTTACTTCTTAGCTTAGAGATATTCCCCCTGTCAGTGATGCAGGTACGAGGGGTTGACATGGAAAAAGCGTCTAGTTGTTCGGATGGGACAATAAACCGAGGCCCTGTGTGCTACAGGCTGTGCACGTTAAAGATCCCTCGACAGTTGGAAATCGAAAAGAGCAGGCTAATGCTGCTGTCCTGGCAAAATTTCCCTCATTGCACCCTGCATGGCGTTGCCTGTCTTCATTAGCCCACATGGTGCAGAAAAGTAGGACATAAAACTCCATTCATTTCATTTCATTTCATTTAGCTTAGAGATAGGGAATGCGGAAGACGAGCTTGGGATGTACTTTGATTGGTTTTTAGAAACAGGATCCAGGATGTTCGATTTGGGATGAACGCAGTTTTCAACCCTACAAAACCTTTCAGAGTCATAGAGGACAAACACATAAAAAATTGAAAATGTTTAAAAATACCAAATGAATATTAACCAAAAAAATTTTGGTGTCAATTTCACAAATTCGGGATAAATTACAAACATTTTAACAAAACTAAATTTTTAAGTTTTTCATGCGATTTGGATGAATGACCAACAACTAAAGTGTTTTGTTGGAGTCGACAATAAGCTCGCGGATTCTCTAGAGGGAGAAATAATGCTAGCGTGTAATTATAAAGTAATAAAAATGTCACGATAAATAAATAAAGGGGGATAACTCATTAATCATTTGATCGCTCGACACGACTATTGTCATCTTGTCATAAATGTCTGCCAGTTTCTCTCTGTGATGATCTGTTGATATTTTATAATGCTTCATTCATCTGATTATTATAACTCCCAACTTTTACCAATTTATCAAAATTAAAATTTTATTTGAAAGATCTCAGGAGTGTTGTTAATTTGATTAGGTCTGAAATGAGGGGAGGGGGATAGGTGTAAATTTTTAGGATGAGCTATTTTTCAGGCATATATAATTCAAACTTTCTCTGTTCATTTTTTTTTTTAATTTTAAATTATTAGAACTAATACTTTAATGAATTTATCAAAATTAAAATTTTAGTTGAAATATCTCAGGAGAGTTTTTAATTTGATTAGGATTGAAAATATGAGAAGGGAAGAAATTCTGAACTTTTTTGGGGGCGTATGATGTAATTTTCATCTAGCATCTCTATCCCAGTTTTCCATTTTCATGCAAAAACAATGATATGATATTAAAAAAAAAAAAACAATAGTTCTCTTGTACCTTTTCTTATATCCTAAATCCCAAAGTCACGAAAAAAGATTTGGAAATGCCTTGGGTACAGAGCTGTAGGACTTTAAACTCTGTTTTATTTTATTAGTCTAATAATATAAAATCTATAAAAAAGATGTAAAAGCCCCATAATTTTCTCTTAACAAAAAAAGGGTCAATTCTTCTTATAAAAAATCAGAATTAAAGTCACAAACTTTTTGTTAAAAAAACAAAAGATGAAAGATGAGATACCTTTTGATATGTCAACCATTTTCATTTTCACCATCATTTCTCATGAATCATGTTTTTTTTTTTTATTTTTCAGATGTTTTGAAATCGAAGCCACGTTTCCAATGGAGTCGTTACTTACAGTACAGATCTATGACTGGGATTTAGTTGGAATGGATGATCTAATCGGAGAGACGAAGCTTGACCTTGAAAACCGTTACTACAGTCGACATCGAGCTACTTGTGGATTGGCTCAAAAATATGAAATGTAAGTTTGGCTTCATCTTAAATTACCCCCTTATCAATAATATATGAGACCATGGCTCACTTTATACAAACATTTTCAAACAATGAGATTGAGTAAATTCATTAGTTTGTGTGATAATTTGCATATTAAGCATCATCATTTAAATCATGTCCCTTATCAATATTAGATGAGACTGTGGTTCAGTTTATTCAAATAGCTTTATATGGCAATGAATTTTTCAATGACTTTGCGTTGATGTCTTTATAAATTTTAAAGTTTACATTGAATAGAAATTCACACGAACTTCAACTGCAAATGTCCCAAATTTTTTACTGAAAATTGTCCTCTTTAAAAACAAATTTTAAGAATGATGGTCATGTTTTTGTTTTTATCTACACAAAGATATTCTAAGACTAAAAGTACTATTTTGAAGTTGATATTAATATAAATATAATTTGATATACTGACTAACGTGAGAAGATAGTAGTCAAGCTATCACTAACTGAGTCTTATACCTTAACTGCAGTATAATTTCACAATTGAAATTCCCATTCTTTTGAAAATAGTCAGTAAAATTGATATACCAAATAACTTGCGAAGACCGAAGGCTTGGTATAGTCTTGAAGCCCCCTTGATACATTTATTCATTATTGTCAGATTGATTGAAACAAAATAACCGTCATTTTAAAATAACACCCAAAACACCAAACAATATCACCTCATTATTTACGTTGATTTTATATGCAGAATTAGGTCGATAATTCCTACCCACAATTCCCTGTGGAGTTTAACGTCAGGATTATACAAGTTGCTATGGACAATGTTACACGGTGATTCCTCTAATTCCATTTGACAGGCCATATAGTCACGGAAATTACAGGGAAGTGGAACAAATTATAAATTATCAAAACTTCGAAAGAAATCCTCCCAAATGAATTTCATTCTCGACAAATCGTTAATAAAACCACTTTATGGGAATAATTCGGTGGAGAGTGTCGGATTTCTTCATGGATCAATTCTCATTCAAACTGTTACAATTGAAGTAATGAAAATTGTTTTTGGACAGTGAATTTCTCTAGAAGGTGTTAATATATTCAGAGCTGAATTGTTGATTTGGTTGTATTTAGCAGTTCCATTAGATTCCAGCAACCCAATTGTCATGTTGAATTATTTTTACATACAGTTCTAGATGAAAACTTTCATACCTTGATAACACCTACCCTTTTTTTAAAGATTTTCTCATCCTGTAAACAACAATAGTAAATACCAAATAGTTCATTTAGATTCCAGCAACCCAATTGTCATGTTGAATTATTCTTATGTACAAGATGAATTCTTTCATTCAAATTTTTGGGTCAAAACACCTTAAATGGGGAGGCAAATACCTTGATTTTTCCCACCATCAATTGGCCAGGGTTTGTTAATAGATTATTGTTCTCTAATTATATACCAAGCGGCATTTCCTTCTTAGAAGCTTGGAAATTTGGTCTTTTGTGTTAAAAAAACCCATAAGTAATCAGACTTTCTGAAAAACAACTTTGTACTTTTAATCGTGCCACCCTGTTGAATCAAACTGGGTTAATTTGATGAAATTTTTATGGAAAGATTATAATTCTCCGGTTTTGTTTGTATTGGTAGTAGTTGAACGATAGTAATGGTAATATAAATAAAACAGTGTTTAACATTAATAACACATGCTGTCTTGTAAATATTAATTTAATTGCTTGTCTGTTTATAAATATCAAGTCTTTTTCAAATACCGTGAAATTTTTAATTTATGACAGATACATCTTAAAAAATTTTGACATTTTGTGATGTAAATATGAGAAAATGGATTGTTTAGTGTTGATGAAAATTAGGTTAAAAACATCATAATTTTGGAAAATTATTAATTTTTGATATATATAATATTCTTAAAGGGACAGATTCACCATCCATTTGACCAATCATACCCTAGTCCAAGAAACGAAAATTTTTAGTTAAGCTAATCAGTAATAGTGTTCACAGCTCACCGTAGAAATTTGAACCTTCTAATCCATGGTGTCCACTGTCCAGAATTATCCGCATTTAAAAGTAAAAATGATGACTGGTCTTTTTTTGAGACTCTGCCCTATACATAAAAGACATCTATAGAAATAGGAAATGAAATTCCTAGTTTGAGATATTTTTGAAGGATTTATGAGATTTTCATAAATTTCTGAAGACTATTTACATATATTCAAGACTCAAATCAACCCCCCAAATGGTGAATCTGTATCTTTAAGCTCATTGAAGTTATTATTTTGTAGGACAACAATTTTGAAATCTTTTTAAAGTTAAAGTTTTAGAAATGATTACTTCAAAAACATAGTTCTGAAAATATTTAAAGGACTTACAATGTATGAAATTTGCTTTTTTCAAAAAAAGGGAACCCAGAGCATTGTAAACCAATATGTTTTCATGTAATTTCTGTATTTATCTATTTTCTGGGCCTTATTCTTGAAAACTTACCTTAGATGATTTTAGTGTTACAGTCATCTGATTGGTCAGTTTACTAAAAATGATTTTGAATTTAGTTTTATTATCCAATCAGATTACTGTATTTCTTAAAATCTGGATTTTGTTACTTAAGTTCGAGAATAACGAGTCAGAAGAACAGAAACTAGAACAAAATCAAAATTTATACAATTTATCAAAAATAAGGGCATAAAAGTCTAGCCAGTTAAGTACAGAAAAGTAGGAAGTAAAACTCCATTTTATTTTAAGATATTTCGAGGACTGGAATAAAAATATAATAAAAAGATAATCTGAACTAAATTTCACGCCCAATGACTTCTAAGAATCGGAATTTAGAAGTTAATTTTTTTTAGTTATTTTGAGAAATTTGCCAGAAGATAAATCATTGCTGAAAGAATTAATGATTTTACCAGATTTTTGAGTGTTTTACCAGAATTTTGATGGGCTTGGTCTCAGGTTTGACACATGACTGATAGTTTAATAGAAAGGATGTCAGACATCATAACATATGCCAACATGGCTAGAACAATTAAAGAGATTGTAAAGAGGTTTTCTAAGTTTTTATGTTTATTGGGGACCCTAGCATCAATTTGTACCATTCCAATTTTTAGTCAGACGTCTGTAGTTCCTGCAATTCCAAAAAAAATTAGTGTTTGATGACATCACTAATCACAAAACGCATATTTTTTGCGATTAGTGACGTCATCAAACACTTAGTTTTAATCTATCATTGCGATAATTTTACCAAGCCCTAATTTCAATGTCCTGTTTGATTCTTTCTTTCAGACATGGATACAACGCCTGGAGAGATCCTTTAAAACCTGGACATATCCTGGCTAAACTCTGTAAAGACAGTAAAGTAGATGGTCCGTACTATCAACCAGGGAAAGTCCGTGTTGGAAACAGAATTTTTACAGCTGCTACTGAAGTTGAAGATGAAAATGGTAAGGATTAAATGATTTTTATGATTTTTGTTTTTATTTGCTGTTTTTTTTTTAATATAGTTGTTTTTATAATACTAGGTGTGATTTTTTTTTTTAAATATTTGATTTTTTTTATATGATTTGTTGTTGTGGAATTAGTTTGTTAATTATGGACATGCCCCACCCAAATTTTAGATAGATGACCAATATTTTAAAAATATCCGAATTAGGAATTAATTCAACATAATTTCAATTTATACAGACACAGCTTTATGGAACAACAATCACTGTTTTTTGAAAGAATTATGTGATTTTTGTGCAGTTCTAGTAATTGCTGAAGAATATTCACATAAATTTAAGACCCAAATCAAATCCAAAAAATAGCAACCCATGGCCTTTTAAATTATAAGCTAGTTTTATATAATTTTCAATTTGAACAATATTAACATTGTCTCAGTCTCAGAAACGGGAATTCTTTAGCTAAGCCAATCAGTAATAGTGTTCACACCTCACTATCAAAATTCAAACCTTCAAATCCATGTGTGTCCAGAATTATTCATGGTTGAAAGTTAAAATGACAACTCGTCAAATAAAGATACATAAAAGACATATATAGAAATAGAAAGTAAAATTCCTAGTTTGAAGTATTTTTAAGGAACTATGGGAATTCTAGTACTTCTGAAGACTATTTACATATATTCAAGACTAAAATCAACCACCCAAAATGGCACACTTGTCACTTTGATAAACACTGCTTTGAAAGCTATTGCCACGGTCTTGACAAACGCCCCTCATTGCATACTGCAAGGCTTTGGCCCTTCATCCAATCAGTAACAAGTAAGATGTCAAACATAATTTCATTTTTATTTAAATTCACTTTGAAATTTATCACTTAAAAAAAACTGAAACAATAAAAAGCCTGTTAATCTCAGAAATTCCAAAAAATCAGAAAATTTGAGATGAAAATTTGAAGCATGTTTTGACGATGAGTGATAGCTAGTTGAAATAAGGTGGAGAATGGTAACCTTTGACCTCAAACATGTGGAACAGGAAGATTTGACCCGATATTGCCAATTTTAATGTTTTATCAAGAAACACAGAAAATAAATAAATTATTAAATTTATTGAATATGAGATAAGCTCCTGAATTGTTTTAGAAACAAGAGTTTTTTATTTTTGGTAAATAAACTCAATGTAGCTCTCGGTACAGACAGGCGTTGTCAAAATTATACAAAACTTACTTTTTTAAAAATTTTACCACAGTTTGGAATAATCATTTTTATATTTTTTAACCCCTAATAAAAACCTTAATTTGCAAAATTTTATGCCCAAGATTTTCTTGTTAAAAGCCAACTTTCTTAATTTCAAAACTGCACATGTAGATTTTACTTTTACAATTCAAATTGTTGTATTTTTCCTGAATCCTTATTTTATCAGAAAATGACATTTTTAGCACAAATCTTAATGTTTGCATAACAAAATTTGATCAAAAATGGCAGTTTCAATTCTTTTGATTTAAAACCTGACTTTGAATAATAATTTTCAATTTAATAGAATCTTAGAAAATAATTAAAGTTTTTTTTTTAATTATTATTTTGAAAACACCAGTTTGCTTAATATTAATATCTACTTTTCAAAATTTTGCGTAATTCCCAGTTCGCCTCTTTAAACTAAAATGACTAAACCTTAACAATTAATGAAATTCTCTAAATTAAAATCTTAAATCGTGAAGCACTAATGATTAATGTAATGAATATAAAATATACCATATTTAAATTAAATGATGATTAAATGATTACACGTTATTTATAAAATAAACAATATTCATGTTTTTATCATAAAAATAACTCAGGTGTCAAAAAAAATCTGGCCTTCTGTCAGCAAATTAGGCAAATAATTTTTTTACTTGTTGAAATATTACAAAATGGCGATGAGAGGTTGGAAGTATTTTTTATACTGAGTTTAATGTTTAGTCCAGGCTAGATGATATTCTGACCCGCCCTGTTCTCTCGATTTTTGGCCCTGACGGGGAAAGTGTTGATAAGTGATATTCATCATCAAATACGTTACAAAATTTCTAATATTTAAAGATGGATTTCCCTGTGAAAGTTGAATCATTTTGCACTCTACTGCTTCCAGATGATAACTTTGGATATTTCAAGCCAGTTTCCCCTGTCAGTGATACAGATAACAGAGGCTGACATGGAAAAAGTATTCAATGCTGTAGTCATTCAGATGGAACAGTAAACAGATACCCTGTGCGCTACAGGCTGTGACTTTATTTTGGTTGCCAATTTTTAGAATAATATTCCTTGTTTGAAATCCTGGCATAAGTCGAGAAAATACCATAGGATTTTTCAACCAGGTTTCCCCTGTCAGTGATGTAGGTAAGAGGGGCTGACATGGAAAAAGCGTCTAGTTATTTGGATGGGACAATTAACTGAGGCCCGTGTGCTACAGGCTGTGCATGTTAAAGATCCCTTGACATTTGGAAATCGAAAAAGAGTGGGCTTATGCTGCTGTCCTTGCAAAACAAATCTTTATCAGACATCCAAGCATAGATTGAACATTGGGTTTGAATAAACCAAGTATTAACGATCCAAACTGCAAAACAAAACCCAAAATCCAAACAACATGTTGACAAAATAATAAACATTGGTAGTTGCTAATGAACTTTTCATATGAGGAAATATATCAATCATATATGATATGTTTCATAATGAAAAGTGGTATCAGGTGTCTAGAAGAGTAAGCATGCCCAGTATTCACGTTTGACCAAATATTAGGTGGAATTTAACTTGAGTATTATAGGGTTAAAAACTTGGCCTGATTTGAAGTTGGTGAGAGTATTCTGTCACCAGGTTTCAGCGGTTTATTCCTATCTCATTATCACTTCATTATAATTACATTACCCTACATCTCCGCCCCCATTTTTATATTTTTATTTTTCAAATTGATTTGACCTAATGTCAAACTTCCTGTGTAGTGACCTCTCGTTTCAAAACTTGCAGTCCTGAAAGGTCTCCTAATAAATGCCTAGTTTTTCTTACTTTATACTAGATCAGTAGTTCTCAAACCTAAGTCTTCACACCCCTGGAGCAATCATTTAGACCTTTCACACCCCCAAAAATTTGTTGTATCAAAATTTGCAGAATGTGTTGATGTGAAGTGCTCTCTCAATTCAAAATAAATTCTTCTCCTACACCAATTGGCCACACCCCTGAAAAAATAAACAAAATTTAAACAGTGTCCTGAAAATGCTTAAAAAGATTCCTGATTTTTTTTCAAAACTAGAATTATTCATAGTTTTACAGGCCAGTTTTCTTAGAGGATCAGATTTTTATTTGAGAATGTGAATTCAAATAAATTTAATACCAAAAATTGTCCAAACATTTCTAAAATATGATCTGATATTGTTAAGCCATTTTAAGAATTTCTTTTGTTTATATACCACACTGTCAAACTCATAAACACGTTTTTTTCGACCAATGAAACAAGGGACGAGGAAATTAGAATATTTTCTTTGACAAACAGATTATCGTGTGTATAAACATTGGTAAATTGGTGCCAGGTTTTGTAAATCGAAAGTAGACTGCCGTAAAATTAAACCAAATGGTTAAACTGTTTATTTAAGACCCAAAATAAATTGACGTATTACTCAATTCAGTGAGCTCAGTATGTTTTGATTTGACCTGACTTCTCACCTTTGACCCCTCTTTGTTTATATTTTGACATTCTGATGTTTTTATAAGAGTCTGGAAAATTTTGTATAAATGTTCTCGGTCCTTGCTTCGTTACTTTTAAATTCTGAAAATGTTTTTAAAATCTGTTTTTTGTCTTAGGTCTTTGTGAAGATTTTTGATTTGATTTTAAGATGTTATGGTAGAATGATTTAGAATTATGATTTTAAACTGGGACAATTATAAAAGTTATAATAATTTCTTTTTTCATCTTCTCATTTCATTTTTTTTGCAAAATTCGGTTTTCTAGATATGTGACTGAATTATGTGCATACATTATTTTTTATTTTTTTTTATTTTATGTTAAATATTTCTCACTTAATCTATTTAAAAATTAAAACAGAAACAAAAAAATGTTGGTACTCATGCGATATTCAAACATCTGACCTACTTCAGCTTGCGTTCTTATTGAAGTTGGACAAGTAGAGATCTTCAGACAACTGACCTACTTCAGCTTGCGTTCTTATTGAAGTTGGACAAGTAGAGATCTTCAGACAACTGACCTACTTCAGCTTGCGTTCTTATTGAAGTTGGACAAGTAGAGATCTTCAGACAACTGATCTATTTCAGCCTGCGTCCCTACTGAAGTTTGACAAGTAGAGATCTTCAGACAACTGATCTATTTCAGCCGGCGTCCTTATTGAAGTTGGACAAGTAGAGATCTTCAGACAACTGATCTATTTCAGACTGTGTCTCTACTGAAGTTTGACTAGTAGAACTTATTCTCATGTCTACACTTCGAGACGAGTTCAGAACGTTTGTGCTTAGGGGCATTATTAATGGAAAGTTTAATTGGATATGTTTTTTCACATTTTTTATTAATTATTTTCATTTCATTGGATTAAAATATTTTTTTATTCTCACAAATTTTGTTTTATTTTCAATATTTAAATTGATTCCAATTATTTTATGTGTTTTTAGTTTTTTTCTGTTTTAGTTTTTGTTGTTGTTTATTTTATGTTCAGCCAAACGAAAGAAAAAATCCATGTTTCATCGCTCAACGAATCCCCGTGTGGAAGGCTTTAGTCAAGTTGGGTCTCCGCCATCATCAGTTTTTACTGTGGGGTCACCCATTCAGAGGGCAGGGCCATCAAAATCTCGTATTAAACAAGAAGAAGAGGAAGAGATTCTAGAAAGTAAGAAAATGCAGGAATCTTCTGCATGTTCGAACCTCTTATATGGGCTGAATAAGACCCAGTCTATCAAAATCTCGTAGAAACTAAGAAAGATAGAGAAATCTGCAACATGCTATACTCATACATCGGTAGCCTTATAAGATTGATACATTATGTGCTTTTATGTGTTACAGAATTTCATTAATAAAAATCTCGTCCAAAATAAGGCAAAATCAAGAGTAAGAGATGTATAGTAGTGAATTCTTCTAAAGAGAAGTACCATCATTTGTTTTGAAAAGAGTACGCATGGTCTGCGAAACACGACAATCTCGTCCAAAAAATGGCAAAAACGGGATTAGTTCTTTAGTAGTATTCCTCCAAAGAGAATTACCATCAGATATTTAGAAAAGAGTAAGCCTGGTCTGCTCGTGCATGACGCCCTCCACTACTACACAGGTCAATATCATGAGATACAACCAGATCAAACAAATCAACTTCTTAAACTATTTCAGGTATCAAAAAGCAAACAGATGAACATTTGGCCCTGGCAGCCCTAAACCATTGGGATGAAATACCAAAAGTTGGTTGTAAACTCGTACCTGAACACGTTGAAACACGCCCCCTATACCACCCGGAGAAAGTCGGTATCGAACAGGGGAAAGTGGAATTATGGGTAGATATGTTTCCCATGGATATGCCAGCACCAGCACCACCAGTAGATATATCACCACGGAAACCAAAAAGGTGAGGTTTTATTGAGATTTATTTTCATTTACAAAATTGGTTTCAGAAATTATATTGTTATTATGGTCCGGGAGAAGAAGTATTTTTCTAAATTATTCTAAAGTTGATATATATATTAAATAGGGGGTACCAGTTGCAAACGAAAGAAATGAGAAATAGAACAATTGCTCACCATTAAGTAGTGTCATCATTAAAATTTATGGTTCCCATTGTCTCTGTCCATTTGTACGCTGATCTGACCCACCCCGCCCAATTATAGATACGATTTTTTAATATTTCAGTTATGAGTTACGTTGTATAATTTGGAACACAGACGATGTCGTGTTAGAAGATGATGCTTTTTTCTCGGGGGAGAAGATGAGTGATATTTACGTCAAGGGATGGATCAAAGGCCCTGAGGATATGCAGAGTACAGATATACATTATAGGTAGGTAGAGGACAGAATGTGGGGGTGGGGTAAGGAAGGAGCATGGAGTAGATTAAAGGCCCTGAGTACAAACATCAGTTACAGATAGATAGGGGATTTCAGGAACAGGTTGTGGAGTGGGGGTGAGGGAGGAAGGAACAAGGGATGGATCAAAGGCCCTGAGGATATGCAGAGTACAGATATACATTATAGGTAAGGACAGAATGTGGGAGTGGAGGAGTACATCAAAGGCCCTAATGACATGCATTTACAAACGTCCATTCTATATAGGTAGGAGATTTAGGGACAGAATGTGAGGGGTGGGGAAGGCAGGAACAAGGAGTAGAGAAGAGGGTGTTGGATCCAGGGCTGGATTAGGTAGGTATAACAGGAGGTGTCTTATGTAGAATTTAAGAAGAGAAGATCCTTGACAATTTTAAGTCAGGGATTTTTTTCTGAAAGTAACGAATGGAGTTTTACATCTTAAGGATTTTGTTTTGTGGTTGAAAGTAAGGTCTTAAACTCTGAATGATGGCCTTCCTGTTATTTTGATTAAAAATAAACCATGATGAATTCCTCTGCCAATAAAATTATTTTTATTTACAGAATCAATTGTTATAAAACAATAGATAATTTGTTACCATAGAAACACATTAAATTTATTTTTTTTATTGAATTTTCAAATTGTTTTTGTAAGATGTCTATTTAATTGATGGTTTTTGTTTAATGGAATGAGAGAAATTAATATAGATTTGTAGTCATCCTTTTCCTTTTGTCAAGAAAAGAAAGAAACATTAATTTTTTACAAGTTTAACAAATGTGGTTCACAAGGATCCTTTCTACCAGCTGGTCCTTAGTTAAATTTCTTGGCATTGATCTTTCAAGGATAACATCTAAGGTTCACAAGGATCCTTTCTACCATCTGGTCCTTGACCAAACTTCTTGGCATTGATCTTACAAGGATGACAAATTAGGTTCACTGAGATCCTTTCTACCAGCTGATCCTTGGTCAAACCTATTGGCATTGATCTTTCTTACATTATCTGAAACACTTTCACAGTAGGGTCGACTGGAATTATGAGTGAAGAAGACTTATATGATGTCACCAGACTTTTACATGCTGACAGAGAATACAACCCACGACTACCATTTGTGTGAAAATTCATAACACCCTAATCTAGTAAAAATACCCTCCCAAGTTCGTTTTGAAAATAGTATTCCATCAAACTTAGTCCAAGACCAAGATAAATGCGTTGAATTTGAAGTACAGAAAATGCACTGAGATGCAGGCACGAGCATGAAAGTTTTGACACATGTTGAAGATTACTGTCATGGCTGACTATTGATGTATCAGATTAGTTCTAATATAAACAATTTATTTTACTATTTAACCAAATACACCTTGTTACAACCCAATACATCTCCAGGTCTCTTTCAAAACAGAGAGGTTGTTTTCCAGTGGTGGTGGTAACCTCCTGAGACTTGGGTAAAAATAGGAGGTAGACTGACTTAATGGGGAGACAACTGTCGAGACTGATTAAAAAATGCAGCAACTCTGTGGAGCGCCGGAGAGGATTCTCCCAATAAAAATTTGGAAAAATCCAATTGATAAGATAGGGGTACAAGTGGGGGTGCAAGCCATTTTTCTAAGGGGAGTGGGGTTGGGGAAGGGGGTGACAATTTTTCAAGGTTGATTGCAGAGTTTGAAAATTACCCAGTTTTAGTGTTAGTAATATTTGTTTCTGAGGTTGAATCTGTGAACTCTTGTCTATGGACCATGAATCGAAACCATCAGTAGGTCTATTCCTCGCAGAGTTCAAAATTCTTACTGTGAGCCTTGTCAGTGAGCAAGAGATTTGCTCGCTTATTTATTTGGTTATTATTTTTCAACCTGGTTTCCCTCTTTTGGTGATGCTGGTCAGACGTAACACTCTGACCGTTATTTATAGCAGAGTTATGAGAACTATAGGATATAGAATGTTAAATATATAATTATTTAGAGATAATATTATGATTCGTGTTGACGGGAGGAACCTTGTTATTTATCAGATGTTTTCAATCCAGGTTCCACCTGACAACACAGATTGGTTGCTATTAACAACTAATTATTGTCTATGGTTACCAGATATTAAACATGGAGGCACATCGTGGTTAAGACTACATTCTCCATAAATTTTAGTGATTCATTTTTAACTTGAACTCTACTGTACTGTAGTTGGTTTTGCTTGCATTGGTGATAAAGCAGATGTCGCGATTAGTGACGTCAGGAATCACAGACGTCTGATTAAAAATTGGAATGTTACAAATTGATGCTATCAGTGTCCCCAATACACATAAAAATTGAGAAAACATCTTCACAATTCCTTTAGATTTCAACAGACTTCCTTCAGATAAATTTCAATTGATAGATTCAGATTGACAACTGACAGGTTTCGTCGAACATGGGAAGCCATCTTGAAACCTGTCTTACAACAATAAGAATATTTATTGAGTTTCATCACAAATGATGCACATGAATTTGAAGTTAAAAAAACCTGCACTAACATGAACTAATCATCCAGATACTTGTTGTCAGAACGCAACCAAAACACACGTTAAAAACTTCCAAAATAAAGTGTCGGCAAACTCTCTAGAATTAGAGACTGAATAATAAACAGTGGGTAATTAAATGAGGGAATCAAAATATGCATCTGGAAGTTACGAAAATATTCTACATAAGTTACGTAATCCGAGGCGAAGATTTTGAACTTTTGAATGTTGTATCAACATGTTTTTTTTATTGGCATGTTTACGAAATTTCATTTTGTTCGGATTTTTTAAATGAAGCACAATCAGTGCATGTTCATCCTCACCTCATGCCTCTTTTGATTGTGTTTGTCACTTGGTCCCTTACAGAGAGTTCAAATAGCTAATAATGTATTTTATATATTTTAGCTTAGTATTTTGGTTAGTCAACGTGGCATCTCTTTCAGAGAGTCAACATAGCTAATAATATTTATTATCAACTTGATATCCCTTTCAGGGAGTCCACATAGCTAATAATATTTATTATCAACTTGATATCCCTTTCAGAGAGTCCACATAGCTAATAATATTTATTATCAACTTGATATCCCTTTCAGGGAGTCCACATAGCTAATAATATTTATTATCAACTTGATATCCCTTTCAGAGAGTCCACATAGCTAATAATATTTATTATCAACTTGATATCCCTTTCAGGGAGTCCACATAGCTAATAATATTTATTATCAACTTGATATCTCTTTCAGAGAGTCCACATAGCTAATAATATTTATTATCAACTTGATATCCCTTTCAGGGAGTCCACATAGCTAATAATATTTATTATCAACTTGATATCCCTTTCAGGGAGTCCACATAGCTAATAATATTTATTATCAACTTGATATCTCTTTCAGAGAGTCCACATAGCTAATAATATTTATTATCAACTTGATATCCCTTTCAGGGAGTCCACATAGCTAATAATATTTATTATCAACTTGATATCCCTTTCAGGGAGTCCACATAGCTAATAATATTTATTATCAACTTGATATCCCTTTCAGGGAGTCCACATAGCGATTTGAACTAGTACATGCATGCTTTTGTCTTGTGAGTGGTTTATGCTCAAAAAATTTTAACAAAAAAAGGAATTTCTCAGTCTGCTCTCAGATCAAGAAACTATGACAACCAATTTAAGGATGCAGAATGGTGTAAAATAAAACATGGCGTTGTATTACTGATGACTGTCAAAATAATGTTTAACTAAACTAATTACAACTTTACATATAAAAATAAACAATATTCACGTTTGTTCCATGTTTTATTTATTTGGCTGTTTGCTGCCAGTGGTGGGTACGAGTTGACTTTCTGATCTTATTTTCACTCTAAACTAGTGTTGATTTATATATAAGAATCTTCTGGAACCAGGAACCCAAAATACATGTACAGCATTTTTATATTATATTTTGGAATCTCCATCTAAAAAATTCAAAATTATTAAAATATTGTTGCTCATACTATTTTTCAATATTTACATTTCTACTACTCTCCCTTCAATGAACTAGTTACGCAAACTGACGTTTATTTTTCTATAAACTGTAGTTTGTCACGTGACACTATGATGTCGTCAATGCACAACAATAACACAATCTAAGATTTGTGGTAAATTCAAGGAACCAATCATATATAACAGTGAAAATTGTGTTAATAAAAGTATCTGAATATAAATATAAGAATTAAACGTTGGTCTCTGAACGTTGACTTCGTCATTTATTCAGTTTATCACATGATCGTATGTTATAAGGAATATTTTATATATTTGATAATTTGCCTGACAGATTCCAATCTTCTGTATATCTAACCTACAACATCATAACAAATTTCAAGAGTAAAATGCTGATTTTCAATGATATAATGGCTCGTTAATTTTAAAATTTTCTGTTGAGAAATTGACTAAATCATTACCTATTTAAAATAAAACAAATGGCAGTGAAAAATTCAAAAAAATAATTTTAATTGGTGTATATCTTCATTCTCTTCTAAATATTTCAGAATTTTTTCTAAACCAAATTTCATTTTTCTTGCACATTTTCTGGACCATTGCTAAAGATTCACATAAAAACTCCAATTTCTGCATTTTTCTGTAAATTCCAGAGATATTTTTAGGTTTAGGAGTATTTTATTAGGTTTATTCTGAAGATATTTTGAGGGATTCTGCTTGAAAAATGTTTATGTTTGCCTGAAACTCTTTAAAATTCTTTGATGCCAAATATCACCAGGGCTAAAATATTTGAAGTGTCTTGATGGTGTCTGGAGGATTTTACATGACTTTATTTTGGTTGCCAATTTTTAGAATAATATTCTTTGTTAGAAATCTGGGTATAAGTCGAGATAGTACCTTTAGAGATTTCAACCTAGTTCCCCCTGTCAGTGTTGTAGGTAAGAAGGGCTGACATTAACAAATGTTCTAGTTGTTTGGATGGGACAATAAACCGAGGCCCAGTGTGCTACAGACTGTGCACGTTAAAAATCCCTCGACAGTGGGAATAGAAATAAAGCAGGCTAATGCCTCTGTCCTGGCAAAATTTCCCTCATTGCACACTGCATGGTGTTGTCCATCTTAATTAGCCAACATGGTGCAAAAAGTAGGAAGTAAAACTTCATTTCATTTCTTTGTTAGAAACACGGTGTTGGATTTTAATTTTGACCTATTTCAAGCCGATTTCTTTGTATTTTACACCTTGTGAGCTTTAGGCTGTGCATGTTGAAGATCCCTTAACAGTTGGCCATAAAAAAAAAGAAGGACATTAAATAAAAAGTACAAAAATAAACAGTATTTCAAGCTGATTCTGTGAGTTTTCAACCCTTTCTCCCTCTGTCCCTAAAAGTACTGACATGTTTGATAATTTTTCTTCAATAGAAATATTCGCTTGGTAAGAAGAGCAAAGTGTTTTTTCTCCCCATTTGTTTTAAATCTGAATAATATTTTAGTGTAATAAATAGATTGTTTTACCATACAGTAAGATAATTGTTAAATTGATAAACCAATACTATAATTATTATAATGAATGCATGTGCATTTCAAGTGCATTCCTATTTATTTCTGATAATTACAAAAACATAGTTTCTCCTAAACAAAGAAATGAAATAATTATGAAATTATGATAAATTCTATTGTTTTAAAATTAAACTTTTCAACTGTGAATCTTAAAAATTGTTAAAATAATGTTAAAGATATAAACCTTGTTGAAATTGTTTTCTGAAGACGACCAACTTCAGTTTTAGGTGATAAAGAACCAGAGATGAAATGGAGTGTAAAATGACCTCCCATAGAGTTACTATTATTTTCACTGTTTTAACGACAGTTTCTCCATTACTATCCCATAATAGTCTAGTATTTAAACGCTAAAAATTGTGGGTGTTTAACTGCTGGGTTGTTTTAATGTTATATTCAATGTACCAGCTGAGGTATATTCCACCATATTATTCCAATTTGATTTAGAATGGAACCTGAATCCTACAGCTGAGGACAAATAATGATTATAATTAGGGGTAGTTTTAACACAAAAAGATAAGAAGTTAAAGAGATTGTAAAGACGTTTTCTAAATTTTGTATGTGTATCAGGGACACTGATTCTAATTTTCAATCAGACGTCTGTGGTTCCTGCAATTTCACTAAAACTAAGTGTTTGATGACATCACTAATCGCAAAATATGCTTTATCAAATAAGGCCTTTGACAATTAGTAATGTAAACAAAAACAGTTTTGATGGAATTGCAGGAACCACTGATATCAGAATGCAAATTGGAATGGTGCAAATCTGGGCTGTTTATTTAAGCACTGCAAATTGATGCTAACATATAAAGTTTAGAAAACCTCTTTACAATGTCTTGAATGTAAATCAATATTTCTGGGGTTTTTTTTCATTGAAAGAAAATGTATGTGATTTCAACAATAGTAGATTCTATAGAACTACAATAAATATTGGGGTGTAAAACTTCAATTTATTTGACTGCTTATATAAATATTGATATATAGATATAGAGATGTTGATATTGTTCAGAATATTTTAAAACATATGGTAACAATTGAGCATCTGGTCTAAAATACCTTTTGTTTATTCCTAAAGTTTTAAATCAATTTCTTACAACTCTAAGTTTCAGAGAGGAAAACAGTTGGTTTTTGAAAAGAAATAATTGATTACTAGAAGCTTGTTTCTCTAAAAATCTTGCGTCTAAACTTGCAGGTTAAGTGAAGTAAAATCTTAATTTTGACGTTAACAAATCGTTAATTTATATCGTTTACGCTCTTGGTAATCTACGATATTATGAGAAACAGGGTCCAGTCCTTGGCGCAGTCACCCAAAAAATTTGGTGTCTGAAATGTATTTTAGTTCATGTACTCAGTCACAATTGGCCACCAAAATTTCTGCTGGTCGAAATTATGGACATGTGAGACAAACTGGTATTTTTTCAAGTCATTAAAACACCTCTACTTTCTATTCATATAAGTATTAGCATTTTCATAAATGAAAATAATTGAACCCATCTTTAAAAAGTGTGGAAGCCTTGCTACCCCTTGTTCCCTATCCTCACCTCTCCCTGACTAGAGTCTAGACTAGACCTCATACCTTTATTACCTCCTCCGTCTAATCACATCTGGCAGCCAAACATTCCGCCCCCAGCATCTTCCAGATTTGTTAATAAATATTTATAATAAACAGAAGTGGTTTAACTCCTTCAACTCAAACACTTCAACTTGTCCTGAAAAATATTATCACCTGTAGACATGATTGTCTCGGTAGCCTTGTCCAGGGTTGATTTTCCTCCTTTTCAGAAAAGACTGAAATTGAAAAACAAAAACAATTTTGACTGAAGCCTCGATCCTGTCTCTGATTATATTAGTCCAGGTCACTACTTCGTCATGGGTAGCAGATTTCTTTCCTTATTCCAAGATGTGTTACTATTTAAACACAAGCTGAAAGATTTTCAATTAAAGTTTGACCTATGACATATTTCTGTCTCTGATATTTTATTTCGGGTTATTATTTGTCAGATTTTATAAATTTTTTCAAAACCAAGAGAATTTCAATAAAGGTCTTAATCCTTTTTTCCATGGTAACGTTCAAGATCACTGACTGATTTTCATTTCTTTTTAATTATTTTTTTTAATCCTCTGATTTATATCATTTTAAGTTTCTACATGTCAATGTTAGCAGATTTCTTTTCGTTTTTTCCAAAGAGAATATTTACTTTTTAAGCAAAAGCAGAAATTTTTCATTTGACATTTGACTTAATTCTGTTTCTAATTCTATCATTCCAGATCGATACCCGATTTTCTTTTCTTTTTGATTTTTAAACACAGGTTGAAAGAATTTCAAGTTAATCTGAATTCTCTGATTTTTATAATTCCAGGTCTCTTACAGGAGAGGGTAATTTTAACTGGAGATTTCTGTTCCCGTTCGATTATCTGGTAGCCGAGGAGAAGATTGTGATTTCGCGGAAAGAGACATTATTTTCCTGGGATGAGACGGAATCGAAGATACCTGCTAGACTCAATCTACAGGTCTGGGACGCTGACCATTTCTCAGCTGATGATTTCTTAGGTGAGATCAAAAACTTTGTCTTGTAAACCCAAATTAAACTAAAGAATTCCTGATTTTTCTGTGAGATCCAAAATACTTCTGTTTTGTTTAAGCAGATGTTATGTTTCTAAGTTACAAACCATATTATCGTCTTTTTTGGAGCAATTTTTGCTGAGATTTTTATTTGTTTTAGAAGAATGAGCTACATATGACCAGAAAATTGTTGAATGATTTGATCTGTAAATATATTCAATTTCTTGTGGTGAAATATAAGATATCACTGTCTTTTTTGTCCATGATCTAAGATTCTGATACATCTTTCGTATTAGCCTGTGTTATAAAATTAACATTTTTTATTTTTTTGATTTTGCCACGTTTATTTTGTTTCTAAGATAGGATTCCTGTATTGGGTTAGCTCTAATGGTCAAATGAAGCCTTTGTATTTTTCTTAAAATCAAAACCATTTTTTGCAGGATCATTAACTCTAGATTTAAACCGATTTCCACGAGGAGCGAAATCCTCCAAGTTATGTACGTTGGATATGTTGAAGACTGACGGCACTGTTCCACAGATGTCACTGTTTAAACATAAACGCGTTAAGGGCTGGTGGCCATTCGCTGTCAAGAATCAAGAAACCAACGATGAACTAGAGTTAACGGTAAGTTTATTTTAAGGTATTATCATCATCATTATCTATTTATGTGTTTGTCATGTAGTCTTGCCGGGGCCTTATTCTGGAAAACTTAATTAAAGCTGATTTTAGTGTTCCAGTCATCTGATTGGTCAATCACTAAAATTAATTTTAAATTTTATTATTTTATCCAATCAGATTACTGTATTCCTCAAAATCTTTATTTTATCTTATCTAAGTTTTGGAGAACAAGGCCTCAGGACATAATCTGGGTGGGAACTAGGGAATTCGTTTTCCTAATTTGTGTGACTAAGATTGTTAAAGATCATTTTGAGTAGCCCAAATTTACAAATACAGGTCCAAGCGTTTTTTCAAACATCATCCTGAATGGAACACTGGAATCTCTGCATTATCAGCATGTTTCATTTGTCCAGTAAGCAATTTATTTTATTAACTTAGCTAGTCTTACAACAGTAGGATGTAAAACTCCAGTTATTTTAGTGTCTTATTACACACATATTTCAGGACGGAAATATTCAAATGTTGATGAAGGTATTGTTTATTGAGGGCAAGGTGTTTTGGTTTCAGTGCTCGTTGTTTTTAAAGGAATAAAAGTCTAAATTTTCTGCTATCTGTATCATTTTTCAGAATAAAAATCCAGCAACATGTTCACCTGCAATTCAATAAAATTTACTCTGAAAGTTTAGATATTTGTAATTACTTAGAAGATTCTCACATGCAAGTATTAATTATTGCACGATGTAGCTCACAACCTCTAGTGAGAACATTAGTAGTATGAAGTAAAACATAAACTTCTTGTTTGAATTGTAGTAAAACCTGATGTCAGAATTGAATTCTGAAAAATGGTACAGCAAGCTGATGTTGAGGTCTATCTGCTGATTAAAAAGATACTACCTTTTAGAATGGATATAAATTATAAACTCAAACTTGGTCAATAAGAGTATATATTCATCAGTTGGACTTACCAGGTGTCATGACTAAAGAATAGAATCTCTATATAACACAATATATCTATTAAACTAAATAATTATTGAAAAACACTTCTAAGCATGTTTCAAAATTACTTAGTTTAAAGAATTATTACTATGTTTTATGTATTTATTGGATTATAGAGAGATTCTGTTGTATAGTTATAACACCAGGTAAGTCCATTGATGAACATAGACTCATTTTGGCCAAGTTAAAAAAAATTCAATTTTCAATTCAAAATTCAATACAGCTGTATTCCTTGGATATTAATTACATTAATTAACTAATTATGTTGATTTTTATTAATATGTTACATTATTGTTTGTATTGCACTTGGTATTCACGTGGAATTCAGGGAGTTTTGGGTTATGGGCAATCGCCTTAAAGGAGCATACCCATGTTAGATTTTCCTTCTCATATCAATGAAAGTTGATGAATTTTTTTTCATGGGTTTGTTCCTTTAAATCTAATCATGGCGGGCAATCAACATCACATATTGGAAGTTTTTGGATGGTTTATTTATATAAAGTTATTTATCTAACAAAGTACAGAACAATAGGATGCAAACTTAAACATAATAAATCAAAATCAGTATTCCACTCACAAAACTTATAGACTACCTGTCAAAACTATGTTTTCAAATCAAAAATTGAAAACTGACAGATACTTTTCAAATTTCTGTGTTTAAATATTTTATTGGGATCGTATAAACCCTCTGGATACGTGTGTCTGTAAAACATCCAGCCTCTAATTATGGTCATTACAACATAAGATAAATAATTGTTTGAAAACCATCGAAATACGATCTTTTCATTAAATATAGTCATTAAGACAGAGTTATGGCCCTTGTAATACGAAGACGATACTATTTTAACAACAAATTGTAATTAGAAATCGTAACCGAAGGAAATTATGTTGGATTATGGGTAATCAAGAAATTTGATCAAAGAGGTCGTTAATTACAAGCCTAATTCTTCCAGGAAGTATTTTGTTGAAGAAGGGGATGGCGAAACGAGACAGACACTAAAAGCATTATATTGAAATAAAGGCATCAGAAAATTTACCTTCTTTCAAAGGAAGTTTAGGAGCCGCGGTAGCTCAGTGAGTTAGACGCTTGCTTGCTAAACTGAAGGTCCGTGGCTCAATCTTGGCAAAGGTGGAGATGATACTTTCGGATTTTTTTCTGGTTTCCCTCCTGTCATTGATGCAGGTCCAAGACTGACATGTAAAAAGCGTTTAGTTGTTGAAATGGGACAATAAACCAAGGCCTGTGTGCTACAGGATGTGCACGTTAAGATCCCTCGACAGTTGGAAATCAAAAATGCTAATGTCTCTGTCCAGACAAAATTTCCCTCATTGCACACTGCATGGCATTGCCCGTCTTCATAAGCAGAAAGATGGAGAAAAGTAGGACGTAAAACTTTTTGTATAGTGATTATTGTATCAAGGAAAGCCTTGACGACCTACAGGATTTGAGTAGGATAGACAATGTTCTATCATGTTTTTTAAGCTCGCTAATAATGCAGATCAGAATAGGGGTTGAGACAATAAACCGAGGCAGAAATAATTTTCTCATTACATACCGCATGATATTTGCCTACATTCATTAAATCAATGATATCATATATTTTCCATCTGATATAAAAGATGAGTTCATATACCAGTTTCTTCTGTATGAAATGCCAAATAAAATACTGGTTATAGAAGACTACACATTGTGACTTGATGAACCAGACTATCCAATCCATCTTCTGTTGTCAGATTTCAAGGATCATATTTCAACTCCCTGATTAATTCGGAAATGGCTTCCATTGCAATATGAAATATTAAATTTAGCTGCATAATTGATAATAATGTTTATATTGTTACCATAGCAACATATTATTATCTTCCACGATTTTATTAGATTTTTATTTTTAATGGCAGTTAAGGTATCGAGTTCCATAATATTTCTTCAATTTAGACAAATAAATATCAAATTTTAAAAACTTTCCTGTTCATAGGCGAAAAATTACTGCCTGAAATTGGAATTTGTAAAAGAGAATTTTTTTTTCGATATTTTGAAAAATTTAGAGGTAGGAATAAGAATGCCTTAAAATCATAGAAGGAAATGTCACGTTAGATATAGTGAAAAATGAACAGTTTTTATAGCTAGAATCCAATCCAAAGAGACAGCTGCCAATGCTGCCTTCCATTTAAAGTGATTATAAAACTTATATGTTTATTGGGAACACTGATAGCATCAATTTGCACCATTCCTATTTTCAATCAAACATCTGTGGTTCCTGCAATTCCACAAAATCTTTATTCTTTATCACAAAGGCCTTGAAAGTGGTGGAACCATAGATGTTTGATTGAAAATTAGAATGGTGTAAATTGATACTAACAGTGTCCCTGATAAACATAAAAAATTTACAATCCTCTTTACAATCTCTTTATGAATATGAAGATATCATTTTGCTAAACTGATGTTTTTTTTAATCAAATAAAATAATTAATGCAGGAGAAAGTATAATGTGAACATCATAAATGTTTTGAATTTTTTAAGTCTTTTTCTGTACTATAATATAATGAATATGTCTTAGATAAAAAAAAAGTCATATTTTGCGGAATTTTTAAAAAACTCAACCAGAAGAACCATACCATTAGATTTGAGACTTGTCCCAATTTCACATTTCTTATTATTTACATTGGGAAAGAATTGTGTATTACCCTCCTTGATAAAACTGTGGTCTCCACACAACAACACAAATCATGTTTATGCAAATTCCACTCATGTGATTATCATTCAAAATTTTGAATTTTTTCAGTCTTTTTCTTAAGCATATAATATTAATATGTCTTTAGATGATCATTATTTTGAAGAATTTTGTTTATTTTCCAGGGTAAAGTGGAGGCTGAATTACAGTTGATATCAGCCGAGGAGGCTGAGAAACATCCCGCAGGTCAAGGTCGTAACGAACCCGACCCCCTCGATAAACCAAAGTATGTCATTTTTCTTTCTGTTTTTTACCGAGTATTTGTAGTAGCTCTTTCCCACCCTATTCAACATAATTTATATTACAAAATTTTAAATGAAACTGTATTTGTTTTCCTTCAAGAGGATTTAATCTCATGGCGCTATATTTTATCTCTGATAACTATTGTTTTTAGAATTGAGTGAGCTATCGCACAGAGTTAACAATATTACCTGTGATATTTTTGTATAATTTTTGTATACTGTGATGTTTCTGTTTGTATAATTTAATGTATTTTTTATTTCATTTATTTTTCTGTCTAATTCTGATATTTTATTTGATCATTTTCATATTTTTGTTTATTTTTTTGACATATTTGTATAATTCTGATATTCCAATTCTAATAGTTTCGCATAATTTTTTGTATCATTTGCATAATGTCAATATTTTGTACAATTCTGATATTTTTTTTCTTGTATAATTCTGATATTTTTTTTCTTGAATAATTCTGATATTTTTTTTCTTGTATATTTCTGATATTGTTTTTCTTGTATTATTCTGATATTTTTTTGTATAATTCCGATATTTTTTTGTATAATTCTGAGATTTTTTTGTATAATTTCAGCCGACCAGATTCATCGTTTATGTGGTTCATGAATCCGTGGAAATCTATTCGCTATATTCTCTGGCATAATTATAAATGGGTGATTTTAAAGTTACTGATTGTTCTTCTACTGACAATCTTACTGGTTCTTTTCTTCTATTCTATGCCAGGATACACGGTGAAAAGACTTTTTGGAGCATAGACTCTTGTTTTTTCAGTTTGTGAACTGATTTGCAATCAACATAGCAATCTGTACAAATAGAAAATTCAGACCAAAGCCATCTTTCAGATAAAAACTCAAGTTAAATTTATTAACACATAATACAGCAATTTGAAGAATGGAAAAATTCTGAACCAACAGCAATATTGCAGATAAAAACTCAAGTTTTCAATCTGAATTAAGTGTTTAATAAAACAAACGTGGAAAAATTCCGAACCACCTGTAATCTACAAGAGGACATCTCTATTTGAATCTGAATTTATTAGCACATTATACAGAAATCAAAGGATTGAAGAACTAGGCCCAGAACCAGCAGTAAACCTGAAGAAGAAAATTTCATGATACCACCCTGCATTTGATATTGCACTGATAAAATCTCTCTTCAGGACTAAAACAGTCAAAAACTGTATCCTAACAACTATAAAATTTGTTTAAAAAACTAACAATATTTAAACCAGAAACAACAAAAATCATCTTTTGTGTCTGAGTTTACAGAACAATATTATTTTGTGACAGTATTTATATATATATACCAAGATAACAATTCATTCATTCTTTCTATATAAACAATTCACTGCAAAATACCATTGAGACCACTTCTAAAATCACTGTAAAGTACCACTCTAAAACTAGATTTATACCACTTTCAAGTACTACTGCAAAAATGGCGTAGTGCCACTGTAAAACTAAATTTATACCACTGTCAAGTACCACTGCAAAAATGGCGTATATTAGACGATTAGAAATTATTTTGTATATATTCGAGTGCAATATTCTTAGATTAGAAACGAAAATATAATTATAATATTTATGTATATAGATGGATTATTAAAATATTAATTGATAGTAGATATAAAGATATTTATACTAATCCTGGAATGATTCAAAACATATACATGATCTATGATGATCTATGATCTATGATGATACATGATCTATGATGATACATGATCTATGATGATACATGATCTATGATGATACATGATCTATGATGATACATGATCTATGATGATACATGATCTATGATGATACATGATCTATGATGATACATGATCTATGATGATCTATGATCTTAGTAGTCTAAACAGTAATTACTATATGATATATTCTGATATTTTCTTTCTTTACATATCAGATGTCTGACTGAAAATTGGAATGGTGTAAATTGATGCTATCAGTGTCCCTGATATTTAGAAAACCTCTTTAATACTAAATGTTTATCCTTAATAACTCCAATTTACGTATTTCGTTTAATCGTGGTGAAGGTTTATATAGGCACTGGCCTGCCCCTGATCTGTTTCATTCTGAACATGAATAATTCTTTATAATAAACAATATATCTGAGCTGTTTAAGTTTTGAATCAGACCTAGATGTAAATGAAGATCTTTACTACACTATATTTATGTAATTTATTTTGTAAATATTTTATTTATTTATATCCAAGATTATATTTCATATTATTGTTTTCGCTAATCAAGAGTGCTAGGGGCAATTTCTTAATATATTTTAGCATATTTATATGAAAATATACAGGTCAGACTTGATAAATTGTCACAGTAAGATAATAAAAATTAATATCTGTATAAGTAAGATGTGACATTTGGCAAAATGGTAAAAAGTTGTATAGTAGTGGACTCCTCCAAATAGAAGTACCATCAGGTGTTTCGAAAGAGTTAGCATGGTCTGCTTCGCGTGCAACACCCACCACTATTATTGTTTGTGAAATCTGACCAGGGTGTGAACAATTTTTGTCTGTCATAACTTCATAATATTCAATATTTTACACAAAAAATATTTGTGATTTTATGAAGATATTTTTGAGAACTGCTATTAAAGTGTGTGTGACCTTTTAGATCATGGCCAGACTTGACTGGCAAATATGAGTAAACTACGCAGTTAATTGATTTAAAATGAGTTCAAACTTTTTGTGCATCCAGCAATAAATTCAACGAGAAAAATCAACCTTCGATAACCTTGTAACAAAATACACGAAAAGATATTAAAATGATTTTCTTAAATAGTTTGTAGAAATATTATTATTATTATTATTTAGAATTTTTTAATGGCAATATTTAAAACTATACAATTATATTATATTCAACTTTATTACTGTATTATTTTACTTGTTTTAATTTTATTTGATTGAAATGTTTAGGGTTCAATGGTGTGTTCAGTTAATTCATTAAACGGACAGTGTTGCATGCTGGGTAACTTGTAGTACAGAAAAGGGTAAAGATTGTAAATATATTTTAGAAAGCTTTAATTATAATCAGATTGTTTGTGTATAGAAATATAATTATATATTATATCATTAGTTTAAGTAGGTCAATCATATAATATGCACATGCAGAATAAAAACAACAATGATATATACAACAGTTGACAAAAACAACTCATATATTTATATTTTATATTTGATAATTCTCAACTCCTATACCTTTTCTAAATCAGCTCTCAATTAGGTCACAATTGTTAATGCACATGCATAAATACCATCAAGAACAGTTGAACAGCTCCATTACCAAACCTGTCTTGATGGTGATTATATTGAAAGCATGTTACGAGTAAAACAAGCCTCTGTCAAATAGACAAACATGAAATTATCCAAGAATATTTTGTTCTGTGAAGTTCTGAATTGATAGAATCTCCCATGTATACTTTTTTAACCCTTTTAACACTAGAGGTTGCTTTACCTTCCACATAATTACATAATATACACCTGGGCGAAGGGTGATGCTGTTGTAACCAAGTGACATCACACAACGTATTCAGCCTTGAGGTATATTACTTGGAGTTAAGGGTATATGATGTTTTTATGTGAATAACACCCAATGTTCAAAGAGTTAATTAAACTTCTCATTAAAACTGTGATACATTTCTTATTATTCTCTCATTTGCTCAAGTTTCACCTAGATTTCAATTGAATATATATTTTTTAATATTCACATATTCTATTTAACTGAGAAAATGCAAATGTTTTGGTGGAATAAGTTAGAATCTCAATATTCAGATATATTAAAACTAATATTCCAGTTTATGTATTTCTTGTCAAAGTACTTCAAAATGATTCCATTTTCACAGTTTTTAACTTTTTTTGTTGTAAATTGACCATTCATTTAAAATTTTGTACAATTTTATTTTAAAAAGGTTCACATTCCACCTGCCTGTGATGGTCAAAATTAAAAAAATAACATTCCAATTAGAATTATATTGTTATATTTCAAAAGTAAGGTCACTTTTCAAATTTATTTTTGAGTAGTTTTATGATCTGACAATAATATAAGCAGGAAAATTCCTTATTTAGAACCAAACCCACTTTTTCATCCAATCAGCATTGGCTAAACTATCTATTAAGTGGTCCACTTAATTGTTTTTAATTTCACAATCATGTGACATTTTGATTGACAGCTGGTGTTGAATTAAGTTAGATCATATTAAGTAAAAGTTTAGATGCTAAGAATGGGCATGGACACTGGCTCCCTCGTTCCCTCGCTCCCTCGCTTCCTTGCTTCCTCGCTTCCTCAACCCATTTCTGAACCTAAAAAAACAATGGAATAATGATTAAGGGTGAATAATGTAAAATATAAGGCAATGATAATTTATAATTTATTGTCCAATTATTAAAAAAAGATTATATCTTTTAGCTTCAGATTCAAATCTTAAAACCTCAAAAGTTTCCCCATTGCAGACTTCATGGTGTTATTTATTAACTAATTACTAGTAGATGATTTATATCGTCCAGCCAAGTTTATCATGATGTACAAAATATAACAACTTTCATCCCAGACAGAATTTGATATTTCCTGTTGAGAAAAAAACAAAAAACATAATTCACGAAGTTAACTGGTCTGATGATTGGAAATTAATTTGCGTTGATAAAAACAACAATAAAGACCAGACAATATCATAAACAAACATGAAAGAAGAATTTATTTATTTGGTAATAAAAACCAGGGATGATAATTTGTCCAAATCTAAGAGATAAGATTTAGAGATTTTGATGGAACGTTGATAAAATTCTCACATTTTCTCATCTGATCACCATGGTTTTAAGTGTCAAATTGTTTCTCGTTGATTTTCAGATAAAATCTGATGTTTTTTTTCTTCTTTTCGACAAGTTAAAGGAGTGGTTCCAGTGGGGGTATAGAAGGGGCAAATGAAAAATGCCCCCCTCTCCTGTCCTACTCCACCCCCCACTTCACTAACAAATTAAGAAATATCAATGTTTCTGCCCTAAAATATACGTCAGAATGCTCCAGATCAATTCAATTTCCCCAAAAATATATTAAGGGAGAACTCTCTTTGATGCCAAATTTCATCACAAATTCAATAGTTGTTCTCTGGAAGCTGGCGCCGCTATTGATTTGGAATAATGGAATTCTTTCAGTTAGTTTTATATGGCAAAAAGATTTTAAACAAGCTTTGCATTTAAAAATTCTGACCACTATAAATGTAGGACTGTCCCTTTAATCTCCTCAAACTAATTTATTTATTGTCTGACTTATTATTTGTTAATTTTTACAAAAACTCTAAATATTTAGATGAGGTGTAAAAAACATATTTCCTTCTGGAATTCTAAACTATCAACACCTTGAATACGTTTGACCTTCTCTGAGAGTGAGAAGTAATGAATTATGAGTGGGTCAGGTTTCTATGAAAGATTTTGGAAGATAAGTTAAGTTCTGAGGGGGTGGGGATTAAAACATACTGAATGATTCTAAGGTGTAAGGAATTAGGAATTTTGAGTGGGTAAGATTTCTCTGGCCCTGATTGGCCAATACAGGGCTAATATATTCTTTCGGATAATACATGATAGTTCCAGGCTGACAAAGGGCTGAGCCTACAGAGCACTGGCAGGGTACTAGAATTTTAACTTGAGGGTGATTTGAACCCATGTCACCTAATTGCCTTGCAGATGACAAACAAAACTACCCTTCCTTCCAACTAGGCTATACCATTGGTATAACATGTAAGATTTTAC